CTATTAAATAAAAAAAATAGATTAAAACAAAACGAGATAAAGTTCGTAAAAACAGTTTTATTAAACTCATTTAATTTAAATTCTCCTTCTTTTTTTTTCACTTTCCCGTTTTGAGTTGGATTTACTATAATCAATACTCAAGACTGTTAGATTAGCGATCGCAATACCATACTTCCAACCAGGCTCAAGAGCGAAGATCTTTTGTTTATCAATATAATTAAATGTATATTTTTAATTAATACGTATTATAGTCCGCGCTACCTTAGTGGCTAAGCACTCGTCATAACTTTGATTATATGTGAGTCACCCGGGTCGATTCCCGCCAGCATTAATGAATTTGCAATATTAAGCCATCTCATCGGCGGTGAATAAAATATTTCGAGGACTTGTTAAATCATTCTACACGCACTGGGGACGAATAACTCCATAATATTCATTCAAAAATGAGAGCCTGTGCGATCACTGGTACATATATGTATTAGGTGGCAAATTTAACATTACGAGTACTAATTATACCCAACACACGTGGAGCTCAAACAGTTCTACATATTTTCACGATAAGGCTTGATCTCTATTATTTTGGAAATTTCTCTAAATATCATTTTTCCTAACGAATGAATAAAAAAAAATTGTTAGATCGTATGCTATCTATAATGATTCGTTTCCAGTAAAAAGGGTATCCGGTTCTCTATACTCACCATACGAAACACAGCAGCGTTAAGCTGCTATTTTAGGCAGGTATTCTGTGAGAGCGTGGTCCTTCCCCGGTCGAGCCGACCCATTCGTGCTACAACTATACCAGTAATACAGCTGCAGTGCTCTACCACGTTAACGCTACCACTTTCTAGTAACAAATTTATAACAATAAAAATCTGCGGTTGCCCTCCATCTGCGAAACTTGGTGAATACGGCAATTAAAAGTAGGATAATTTTTACATTGTTTTGTCTTTATTGGTAGAACTGTAATAAATATTGATTACCATAGATAATAGTGAGTTTAATGATAAATTATAGTAAACTGGACTAGTTTAGATGAAAAGAGAAAATGTATGTTAATAAAGAGATAAAAAAAAGGAAAACCACCCGATCTAACTCTTTGTTGTCATCACTCTTGGCTCTGATCCAACAATAATAAAGGTTTCCATAAAACGACATTCATTAATCTTACATCAACAGTTCACGCCTCATATCATCAGTGTTTAAAAATAGGATTTTTTTCATTCTTTCTCAAAGTATATAAGATATATAAGAAGGTTAACAATATTAAAAATTACAATTTTCGTAACATCAAAAATCATTATTTAAAATACAATTAATGTGAATTTACAATGTCGTGTGTATAAAAATACGAGTCCTCTCCGTTTCTTCTCCACTTCGTGTGCGTAAATTTGTTTACAGTTTCCCTCTATTAGACATGCGTTTTTCCTATGTTTTGGAGGATTAACGTATAAACCACGCTTGACAATTGGATTTATAGCCGAAGTATTAAACATCTTGCAATTTTGTGGTGGCTTTGAAATTATTTACGACGAGTTCATACTAAGGTTATTTTCTTACAACTTGTAGTGGCGATGTAAGTATGAATATTTATTACGCTATATAGTCCCGAGGGTAACGTAAAAAGCGACAGATGGAAAATGAAACAGGAAATGGGCAGCAGCATATTACTGATAACAACTCAAAAAAAAAAAAACTGCGGTTGCCAACCAGCTTGCCAAGTGTGGCAACTATGGAACAATACATCCCCTGAGACAATCTATGAGGAAGGCCTATGTTCAGCAGTGGGTTTTTATAGGCTTTAATGGATGAATGATTTCAAATTGTGTATGTGATATAATTTAATTGTATTTGTTATTGTAAATCATTTCAAAATATTTTTTCTAAATAACTTGATGATAACATGTCCATTTATGATATTGTCTGGAATTCGAAGAACATTTTCAATGATATGATAGAAGACTGTTTTTTTTCAACTGGAGACATGTTTCAGTTTCAGTGGAGACTATGTTTATATATGAATTGCATTTCAAATACTATAATGGCAAAAAAACATGTCATTTTATGATACTGTTAGGAATTAAAAAGACATTTTCAATAATAAGAGATAAGACATTAAAGATCCTTCAATGTCATTAAACCATAGACTTAGGATATACTGGCGTACATACGACCTGACAGCCCGAAAACGCGTGACCAATTTTGATTTATTATTGTGTGAGTTGGCTAGTGATGTACATTTTACTTAAAAGAGCTATCGAAAAATGTTTGTTCAGAAACCGGTTTAAAGACTTAAAAAATAGTTAAGTGCACAGAACTGAATAACTTTTGTGCACTAAACTATTTTATTAAAAATTAATAAATTTTGACTTTAATTCAAAATGTACAAAATTGCAATAATATCCGAAGAGGCGACGTAAGTCTACCGATAAAATGAAACAATTTTCTTCAACAATCAGATCGGAAAGTTATATTTTTGACCTCTGGAGAAAAATATTTAATGCCATTTACAATTTCCACGGAATTTATTTCTTTTTCAACATAATGTTAATCAAATATAAATATTTATATTTTATTTATATTTTATTACTATTTTTTTTTAATGTTTTGCTGGTAAAATAAAAAACGAAGACAGGAAGTATATAATGGCTGCTTTGTTTTTTATATAATTATTACCTTTAATATTTATAAAACAGAATCTGAAACAGAAACAAGAAAACAAAATCATTTAATCTGTACTAATAATTTAAAGCGGAAGTTATTTTGTTTGTTTTTTGTTTGTTTGTTTTAAAACGCTAATCTCTGGACCTACCAGTTCAAATTTAAAATTATTGCATATAATAGCCAGATTCATGAGGAATAATATAGGCTATCTAGCTTATAACTATCAGCTAACCTTATATATTGATTTTTGTTAAGCAAGTCGCAAGAAAAGGCGCTCTCTAACTGCTTAATCCGCGTGCGCTAGCGTAACATTTAGTATTACATAAATACAATGTTCTACAAAAATATTGGTCTTTGCTCCATCTAAAAAAAGTCTGCGATACCACATGCCTATGGCGGCGCTGTCGTCGCGCCACAAACGAAACATATCGAAGCCTAAATCACACTAACAAAGTTCCGAAGTTAAAGCAGCATATATAGAATAGCTCCGAACTACCAATCGGAGCGTTGGCCGCTCCCCGGGCAGAACATCTTGCCCGGCGGGAGATCGCCCCTTTTCCTTCCACCAGTCACAGTGGTGACCCCGACGTAATATGAACACGCAAAAAACAACCTTCGGAAACTACAACCTTAAAACCTTCCTCCAAAACTTCCTCAAGCACCCCATTCATACGCTCCCGAGCAGATATTGTCTGCATTCTTCACATTTTGGGTAACGAAATGATATATGAAAATAATGTAATTAACGAGTATGAGCTCTTGAAATAAATCAAATTAATATTAGTGTTAATGAAATTCTAGATGATTCATTCGTGAGCCGACTCATTAGCGAATTCCCCGAAGTGTTTACAGATAAGTTAGGCACTTGTACCGAAAGCGTTCAACTACAGCTCAGTGACGAACAACCTGTGTACGTGCGCGCGCGGCCCGTGCCATTGGCGCTTCGATCCCGGGTCGAACAGGAGCTGAGGAGGCTGGAGGCCGAGGGTACCATTTTTAAGGTGGACCACTCCGAGTATGGTACTCCTATAGTACCGGTTATAAAAGAAAACGGCGATATACGAATTTGTGGAGATTATAAAATTACGATAAATCCAAAGCTCAAGCGGGAGTTTTATCCGTTACCGCGAATTGAAGAACTTTTTGCCAAATTAAGTGGTGGTGAAGAATTTTCGAAAATTGATCTAAAAAATTCTTATCAACAATTACTGCTAACGGAGGATTCTCGGCGTTACACTGCAATTACTACCCATTTAGGCACATTCGTATATCGTCGAACCCCATTTGGGTTGTCGTGTGTTCCCGAAAAATTCCAGAAAATTATGGAAGAGACACTCAGCGGTATACCCGGTACGGTAGTTTTTTTGGACGACGTTTGTGTCACGGGAGCTACGCGAAATAAACATCTGAGTAATATACGTTACCTTTAGCTTTCAGCTGGATATTAAAAAAATCCTCTCCTTCAGAACTCACGTCACTCACATAATGCTGGGGGCCGCTCGACTGCCTCCCGTCGCGCACTTCTTTGCACATCACCTTAAGATGTCCGCGCCTACCACACTTATCACAATTGTATTGCGCAAATCGGCACTTATCCGCCCTATGTGGCTTTCCACAACGCCAACATGGCCCCGAGCTTCGCTGACTCCGTCGCGTCTCCATGGTGCCTCCTCTAGAGACCGAGCGTAGGTCTCGCCGCCCCCGGCGCTCCCCGGCCTGATGTAAACCTTCGCCTCTTTCTAGACTGCTGCTCCGAACACCTGAGGTCGAAGCTGGTGCCGTGGCACCACTCACCTCCGCGTGTCTCTCCGCAGCCTCCAGCGCAAAAGCCAACTCCACCGCCTCCTTGTACCGAATGTTTCTTTCGGCAAAAATACGGGACCGCATCGCCTCGCTCGCAAGACCTGATACAAATTGGTCCCGCAAATTCTCTTCAAGTGTCACTCCAAAATTGCAGGTCGAAGCCAAATGTTTCAGATTTTGCAAATATTCGGCAAGTGATTCACCTCCGAGTTGCCTGCGCAAGCGGAACACGTGGCGCTCTGCAATCTCGGAACGCTGTGGTTCTAAGTGACTCGACACTAAACTCACTAATTCTTCGAAAGTTTTGTCTTCCGGGTCTGCAGGAGAACATAGATCGCACATCAACGAATATGTCGCCTCGCCGACCACGGTTATTAACATAGGAACTCGTAATTCAGACTTGATTTCGTTTAGCAATATAAATTGTTGAACTCGACGAATATACGCGGGCCACTGTTTACTGGCTAAATCGAACGGCTCTAATTTACCAATAGGCATAATTACGACCACTTTATAACGTTTTGGATAATACGAAACTACGGTACTACCTCTATCCATTTCGAATGGGCGTCTATAACTATGAGATATTTCTTGCCCACGTATTCGGCAAAATCTGCATGCAAACGTTGCCACGGATTTAGAGGGAATTCCCATGGATGCAGAACGGCTCGGGGAGGACTATCACGAACTGAGCAACACGCTTGGCAATTACGACATAAGTTTTCTATGTCCTGGTCTATACCAGGCCAATAGATGTAATTTCGAGCTAGATTTTTCATTTTATTCATTCCTAAATGACCCTCATGAATTTCCAATAAAACTCGTTCCCTTAGTGAGGGAGGGATTACGACGCGATATTTATAAATCAAGCAGCCTAGATCAAGCAACATTTCTTGCTTTCTATCAAAGTACGGCTTCTCGTCGTCGCATTTGGTCGAGAAGGGCCAACCGAACATTACATAGCCTGTAATTCGGCTCAATACCGTATCCTTTTTTGTTTCTATACTAATATCCTTGAAGTTTACCGGGATAGTATCTTCCAGTAAATTAATGTAAGACGTGACCGCGGACTGGTGACGTTCGGTTGGCAGAGGAAGGCGGGACAGCGCGTCGGCCGGGCCGTTAGCAGCCGAGCGAACAAACTCCACTGAAAAATCATAGGCGGCCAATCGGGCAGCCCACCGCTGTAAGCGACTGGCTGCCGTTTGTGGTATCCCGCCTCTTTTCCCAAAAATGTAACTTAACGGCTGATGATCCGTTCGTAAAACAAAGCGTCGACCGAATACATATTGGTGGTGTTTCGTTATTCCAAAAAATATGGCCAGAGCCTCTTTATCTAATTGACTATAATTTTTTTCTGAAGCATTAAGCGTACGCGATACACAGCTGACCGGTCGCTCGGTGCCGTCGGGGTATACGTGTGCTAGGACTGCGCCCAGCCCATACGCACTGCTGTCCACCGACAGAACCAGTGGCCGCCCTTCCTCATAGTGAGCCAAAACCTTTTCGCCCAACAAAGCTCTTTTAGCTTCTCGGAAGGCCTGCTCGCATTTTGAAGTCCATTTCCAATTAACTCCTTTGTTTAATAACAAATGTAAGGGATGTAAAATGGTACTGAGATTAGGAATAAACTTGCCATAGTAATTAAGGAGATCAAGAAAACTTTTTAATTGGGTTACATTCAGTGGTGTCGGAGCATTAGAAATGGCTTCCATCTTTTTCGGATCGGAGTGCAATCCCTGCTTGTCAATAATAAAACCTAGGTACTTTACACTTTTTTGTAAGAACTTACATTTTTCGGATTTAACGGTAAAGCCCATAGTTCGCAACCGTTCAAGTACAGCTCGTAAATTACTCAGATGTTTATTTCGCGTAGCTCCCGTGACACAAACGTCGTCCAAAAAAACTACCGTACCGGGTATACCGCTGAGTGTCTCTTCCATAATTTTCTGGAATTTTTCGGGAACACACGACAACCCAAATGGGGTTCGACGATATACGAATGTGCCTAGATGGGTAGTAATTGCAGTGTAACGCCGAGAATCCTCCGTTAGCAGTAATTGTTGATAGGAATTTTTTAGATCAATTTTCGAAAATTCTTCACCACCACTTAATTTGGCAAAAAGTTCTTCAATTCGCGGTAACGGATAAAACTCCCGCTTGAGCTTTGGATTTATCGTAATTTTATAATCTCCACAAATTCGTATATCGCCGTTTTCTTTTATAACCGGTACTATAGGAGTACCATACTCGGAGTGGTCCACCTTAAAAATGGTACCCTCGGCCTCAAGCCTCCTCAGCTCCTGTTCGACCCGGGATCGAAGCGCCAATGGCACGGGCCGCGCGCGCACGTACACAGGTTGTTCGTCACTGAGCTGTAGTTGAACGCTTTCGGTACAAGTGCCTAACTTATCTGTAAACACTTCGGGGAATTCGCTAATGAGTCGGCTCACGAATGAATCATCTAGAATTTCATTAACACTAATATTAATTTGATTTATTTCAAGAGCTCGAATCCATTGTCTACCTATTAAAGGGCATCCTCCGTTACGAATTACATATAAAGAACAATTTTTTTTTCTGACCTCTCCCAATGCTACATTGACCGATATAAAACCCAAAGATTCGATTCGCGAACCGACATAACTATGTAATCTTACATTATCTTTGATAAGGGATTTATACGGAAAATGACACAAATAAAACCGTTCACTTATTGTGGAAATGCGACTACCGGTATCGACTTTGAAAACTAACGGCTGTCCATCTACTTTCAAAGAAATTTTTATATCGGTGATAAACATATTGTTAGAGATGTTGTCGAGATGTCCTCTGTACTTGAGCCAGGGTCCAGCCGCTGAGATGTGGTCAGTGGTACACTTGCCCTTCACTTTGATGAGAATTGTCATGTCGGTGAGGTCCTTGCCATTCCACTTGTCGAATGGTTCCAAGAGCTGCAGCCGGTCGGAAGTGGGTGAAACGTCGACATTCACCTTTTTGCCATCAGCAGGTGGGTGTTGGTAGGTGTCCTGGCCAGGGTCAAAGCCCTTTGTAGGGAGTTCATCACCGAAGGGATCCGACAGCTTGAACTTCTTGCCATCAGAGCCCGTAAGTTCATCAGACAGTGGGTTAAAGTCCAGGCGACCAGCAATAGACAAAGCGGTGACCAGCTCGGGGCTGGTGACGAAGCAGTGCGTGGCCGGGTTCGCGTCGTTACGTCCGGTGAAGTTACGGTTGTATGACGTCACGATCGTATTCTTCTCGCCCTTTTTAACATCTCTACGGTCCCATTGTCCGATGCAAGGTCCGCAGGCGTTTGCTAGCACAGTGCCTCCAAAGTCCCTTAGAGTCTGTGCAATGCCATCCCTCTCAATGGTGGCGCGAACTTGCTCAGAGCCGGGTGTTACGTTGAATGGAATCTTGGATTTCAGACCATGGCTTATTGCCTCTTTAACAATGCTGGCACAGCGACCCATGTCTTCGTATGAGGAGTTAGTACAAGATCCAATGAGACCAACTCGGATGTCCACAGGCCAATTATTCTTTTTAGCAGCTTCACCCAACTTCGAGATAGGGTTGGCCAGATCAGGTGTGAAGGGACCGTTTACATGGGGTTCGAGAGTTGATAAATCTAATTCGATAAGCTGGTCATATGGTGCCTTGGGATCAGGTGTCAGCAAATGTTTGTAAGAATTTGCGGTGGCTGCGATATCGTGGCGTCCAGTTGATTTAAGGTACGCTTCCATGCGGGAGTTGTACGGGAACACACTGGTGGTAGCACCAATTTCAGCTCCCATATTGCAGATAGTGGCCATTCCGGTGCAGGAGATGGAATCAACACCTGGTCCATGGTACTCTACGATAGCGCCAGTACCTCCTTTCACGGTTAAGATACCGGCTACCTTCAGGATCACGTCTTTTGGACTTGTCCAGCCTTTCAGCTGACCAGTCAATCTAACACCAATGACCTTGGGGCATTTCAGCTCCCATGGAATGTCAGCCATTACGTCAACAGCATCTGCACCACCAACACCTATGCAAAGTCCTCCCAGACCTCCACCATTGGGTGTGTGAGAGTCTGTGCCTATCATGAGCAAACCAGGGAAAGCATAATTCTCCAAGATGATCTGATGGATAATACCAGAGCCTGGTTTCCAGAATCCTACACCGTATTTAGCACCTGCGGTTTCCAGGAATTTGTATACTTCTTTGTTGAGGTCCTTAGCTCTTGCCAAGTCTTTGTCACCACCAACTTGTGCCTCAATTAAGTGGTCACAATGGATAGTAGATGGTACTGCTACGCGTGGTAAGCCAGAGGAAATAAATTGTAACATGGCCATTTATGCCGTGGCATCTTGCATAGCCACACGATCAGGTCGGAGCCGTAAATAGCTGGTGCCTCGCTCAATGTCCTGTCTCTTGGGGTCATCCAGATGAGAATAGAGCACCTTTTCCGACAAGGTCATATCTCGACCTAACCTCTTCTTTACTATTTCCAAATTTTTTGTCAATTTCTCGTATGGCAGTGGGGCTTTGTCAAATTTCGACATAGCAACCTGAGCGGCTGCAGCGGTGAGGGGAGACACGCTGAAGCATCTTTGTTGAATATCCAGGAGCACAGCCCTCGTCCTGCTACCTTGGCCATGCAAAACTCTCATACAGTGAGCCATGGTTGCGGGACTTGCTTTATATCAATAAAATTGAGTTATCTTGAATATTTATTATATAAATTAAGGCAACATCGGTCACACACAAATTTTGGGCAGTTTTATCTGCAAAGCAGTTTTATTATCTCAAATATTCCAAACTATTGTATTAGTCGCTCGCCGTACCGCCGATGAACCAAAAATCATTTGGTTGGCAGATATAGCCAATGACACAATAAATAAAAATAAAAACACATCATTTTCATGTATGACATTTTGTAGTTGTCAACTTAGTCTCCGGAACTTACAAAAGAAGTATATATATCTCGATTACGAGACATCTGTACTGTATATATAGAGACAAACAACAATTTACAGAATATTAAACATTTAATTTAAAAATATGTTGTTTTCGTAAAGATTTGAACACAAACAACAAAAATCCTCCTACCCGCATTTACAAGGAGGGATATAAAAACAATGAAATGTTGTTTCCCTAAATGTCCACAGCGCTTGCAAACCTAGCGCTTTGCCAGAGATCAGTGTTTGAAAAACACATAAAGTAAACACTAATTCTTTTCGGACTTCTTACGCTTCTCCTTCTCCGTCTTGGAGGCTTTCTCCGTCTTCTTAGATTTCTTGGTGGTCTCCTCTGGTTCAGGCGATTTGAACTCTGTTTTTCTCTTCTTCTGCGGAGATTTAAAGGGGGATTTTTTCTCGGGCGTAGGCAACTCTTTCTTGGAGAACTCTCTTTCCCTACGTTCCGTAACCACGCGTTGTTTCGTATTATCCAAAACGTTATAAAGTGGTCGTAATTATGCCTATTGGTAAATTAGAGCCGTTCGATTTAGCCAGTAAACAGTGGCCCGCGTATATTCGTCGAGTTCAACAATTTATATTGCTAAACGAAATCAAGTCTGAATTACGAGTTCCTATGTTAATAACCGTGGTCGGCGAGGCGACATATTCGTTGATGTGCGATCTATGTTCTCCTGCAGACCCGGAAGACAAAACTTTCGAAGAATTAGTGAGTTTAGTGTCGAGTCACTTAGAACCACAGCGTTCCGAGATTGCAGAGCGCCACGTGTTCCGCTTGCGCAGGCAACTCGGAGGTGAATCACTTGCCGAATATTTGCAAAATCTGAAACATTTGGCTTCGACCTGCAATTTTGGAGTGACACTTGAAGAGAATTTGCGGGACCAATTTGTATCAGGTCTTGCGAGCGAGGCGATGCGGTCCCGTATTTTTGCCGAAAGAAACATTCGGTACAAGGAGGCGGTGGAGTTGGCTTTTGCGCTGGAGGCTGCGGAGAGACACGCGGAGGTGAGTGGTGCCACGGCACCAGCTTCGACCTCAGGTGTTCGGAGCAGCAGTCTAGAAAGAGGCGAAGGTTTACATCAGGCCGGGGAGCGCCGGGGGCGGCGAGACCTACGCTCGGTCTCTAGAGGAGGCACCATGGAGACGCGACGGAGTCAGCGAAGCTCGGGGCCATGTTGGCGTTGTGGAAAGCCACATAGGGCGGATAAGTGCCGATTTGCGCAATACAATTGTGATAAGTGTGGTAGGCGCGGACATCTTAAGGTGATGTGCAAAGAAGTGCGCGACGGGAGGCAGTCGAGCGGCCCCCAGCATTATGTGAGTGACGTGAGTTCTGAAGGAGAGGATTTTTTTAATATCCAGCTGAAAGCTAAAGGTAACGAGTCTTATAAATTAACTTTGAAAGTAGATGGACAGCCGTTAGTTTTCGAAGTCGATACCGGTAGTCGCATTTCCACAATAAGTGAACGGTTTTATTTGTGTCATTTTCCGTATAAATCCCTTATCAAAGATAATGTAAGATTACATAGTTATGTCGGTTCGCGAATCGAATCTTTGGGTTTTATATCGGTCAATGTAGCATTGGGAGAGGTCAGAAAAAAAAATTGTTCTTTATATGTAATTCGTAACGGAGGATGCCCTTTAATAGGTAGACAATGGATTCGAGCTCTTGAAATAAATCAAATTAATATTAGTGTTAATGAAATTCTAGATGATTCATTCGTGAGCCGACTCATTAGCGAATTCCCCGAAGTGTTTACAGATAAGTTAGGCACTTGTACCGAAAGCGTTCAACTTCAGCTCAGTGACGAACAAAATGTGTACGTGCGCGCGCGGCCCGTGCCATTGGCGCTTCGATCCCGGGTCGAACAGGAGCTGAGGAGGCTTGAGGCCGAGGGTACCATTTTTAAGGTGGACCACTCCGAGTATGGTACTCCTATAGTACCGGTTATAAAAGAAAACGGCGATATACGAATTTGTGGAGATTATAAAATTACGATAAATCCAAAGCTCAAGCGGGAGTTTTATCCGTTACCGCGAATTGAAGAACTTTTTGCCAAATTAAGTGGTGGTGAAGAATTTTCGAAAATTGATCTAAAAAATTCCTATCAACAATTACTGCTAACGGAGGATTCTCGGCGTTACACTGCAATTACTACCCATCTAGGCACATTCGTATATCGTCGAACCCCATTTGGGTTGTCGTGTGTTCCCGAAAAATTCCAGAAAATTATGGAAGAGACACTCAGCGGTATACCCGGTACGGTAGTTTTTTTGGACGACGTTTGTGTCACGGGAGCTACGCGAAATAAACATCTGAGTAATTTACGAGCTGTACTTGAACGGTTGCGAACTATGGGCTTTACTGTTAAATCCGAAAAATGTAAGTTCTTACAAAAAAGTGTAAAGTACCTAGGTTTTATTATTGACAAGCAGGGATTGCACCCCGATCCGAAAAAGATGGAAGCCATTTCTAATGCTCCGACACCACTGAATGTGACCCAATTAAAAAGTTTTCTTGGTCTCCTTAATTACTATGGCAAGTTTATTCCTAATCTCAGTACCATTTTACATCCCTTACATTTGTTATTAAACAAAGGAGTTAATTGGAAATGGACTTCAAAATGCGAGCAGGCCTTCCGAGAAGCTAAAAGAGCTTTGTTGGGCGAAAAGGTTTTGGCTCACTATGAGGAAGGGCGGCCACTGGTTCTGTCGGTGGACAGCAGTGCGTATGGGCTGGGCGCAGTCCTAGCACACGTATACCCCGACGGCACCGAGCGACCGGTCAGCTGTGTATCGCGTACGCTTAATGCTTCAGAAAAAAATTATAGTCAATTAGATAAAGAGGCTCTGGCCATATTTTTTGGAATAACGAAACACCACCAATATGTATTCGGTCGACGCTTTGTTTTACGAACGGATCATCAGCCGTTAAGTTACATTTTTGGGAAAAGAGGCGGGATACCACAAACGGCAGCCAGTCGCTTACAGCGGTGGGCTGCCCGATTGGCCGCCTATGATTTTTCAGTGGAGTTTGTTCGCTCGGCTGCTAACGGCCCGGCCGACGCGCTGTCCCGCCTTCCTCTGCCAACCGAACGTCACCAGTCCGCGGTCACGTCTTACATTAATTTACTGGAAGATACTATCCCGGTAAACTTCAAGGATATTAGTATAGAAACAAAAAAGGATACGGTATTGAGCCGAATTACAGGCTATGTAATGTTCGGTTGGCCCTTCTCGACCAAATGCGACGACGAGAAGCCGTACTTTGATAGAAAGCAAGAAATGTTGCTTGATCTAGGCTGCTTGATTTATAAATATCGCGTCGTAATCCCTCCCTCACTAAGGGAACGAGTTTTATTGGAAATTCATGAGGGTCATTTAGGAATGAATAAAATGAAAAATCTAGCTCGAAATTACATCTATTGGCCTGGTATAGACCAGGACATAGAAAACTTATGTCGTAATTGCCAAGCGTGTTGCTCAGTTCGTGATAGTCCTCCCCGAGCCGTTCTGCATCCATGGGAATTCCCTCTAAATCCGTGGCAACGTTTGCATGCAGATTTTGCCGAATACGTGGGCAAGAAATATCTCATAGTTATAGACGCCCATTCGAAATGGATAGAGGTAGTACCGATGGGTCGGACGGATGCCAAAGAGACCATCGCCGCATTTAGAAGTATGTTCGCAAGATTTGGCTTGCCGTCGCAATTGGTCACGGATAATGGACCGCCTTTTATGTCCATAGATTTTAAAAATTATTGTAAAAAAAATTGTATTAGGCATGTGTCATCGGCTCCCTACAGACCTCAGGCGGCGGAAAATGCGGTGAAAACCATTAAAAAAGTTATAAAACGGGCGGTTTTTGAAGGGGAAGATATATTACAGGCAATAAACAGATTTTTATTTCAATACCGCAACTGCGAACATGCCACAACCGCGGTGTCACCTGCAGTGGCATTGTTAGGTCGCCGTCTACGCAGTCGCCTGGATGCTTTACGTCCCAACACGGCTGAGGTGGTGCGAAGGGCTCAATATCAGCAGGTTGCCAATTCCGGGGGTTCGGACCGGAATATAGCTATAGGAGACCGGGTGTTGACTAGAAATTATACACCAAAAGGGGGCTAGTGGCGTGAAGGAAAGATAGTAAAAAAAACGGGACCCGTTTCTTATAGGGTCAGCATGGGGGATGGAATCGAGTGGAAAAGACATATCGACCAAGTGATACCAACCAATCGTAAAAGTCGTTATTCCCTTTCGAGGCCTAGCATTAGCGAATTAAAAGAGACCGAGGAGACCCCGTTGCCGTGTAGTGGCGGTCAAGAATATCCACTACCCCATATCCTCCCGTGGGTGTCGTAAAAGGCGACAAAGGGAAACAGGCAGGAGATGGGCAGCAGCATCTTCCTGATAATAGCCAAATTACAATAAAAAAACTGCGGTTGCCAACCCGCTCGCCAAGCGTGGCAACTATGGCAAATACCCCTCTATGAATGACAGTAACAAAGAAACGGCCCCCAGTCCCCGGCGGCCCCGCTATTCCTGGCTACGGTGGCGACCATGGTAACGGCGGGGCAGGGGGTGCTAAGAATCTCCGGTGGAGGTTCGGTTGCCACCTTAGACGACTCGACCTGGCAACGTACAACGCACGCACCCTGAGGACTGACGAGAAGATCGTGGAGCTGGAAGAAGAGATAGACAAGTTGCGCTGGCATATTATAGGATTATCCGAAGTCCGAAGAGAGGGGGAGGACACGGTAATCCTCGAATCCGGCAACTTGCTCTATCACCGGGAGGGCGACCATCTGTCCCAAGGAGGTGTCGGATTTATCGTCCACAAATCTCTCGTTAACAACGTTGTAAAGATCGGGAGTGTGTCGACGAGGGTTGCGTACCTTATACTCAGAATCACCAAACGGTATTCGCTAAAGGTCATACAGGTTTACGCACCAACCTCGGCACACCCCGATGAGGAGGTGGAGGAAATGTATGAGGATATCTCTAGAGCCATGCATTCCTCCAAAACCCAATATACGGTGTTAATGGGAGACTTCAATGCAAAACTAGGCACAAGAGAGAACGGTGAGCTGAAAGTAGGGAAATTTGGAATAGGGCAACGGAACCCAAGGGGCCAGCAGCTGGCCGACTTCATGGAGAAAGAGGGACTCTTTATGATGAACTCTTTCTTCCAGAAGCGGCCCCACAGGAAGTGGACCTGGTCGAGCCCCGACGGTTCCACAAAAAATGAGATTGACTTCATTATGACGACCAGACGACAACTGTTCAGTGATGTCTCCGTGATCGCGAGGGTGAAAACTGGTAGCGATCACCGAATGGTTAGAGGCACACTGAACCTAAACGTTAAGTTGGAGAGGTCTCGTCTAATGAAGTCAACGCTCCGTCCCCCTCGTGCTCTAATCCAAAGTCCCGAAACCTTTCAGCTCGAGTTACAAAACCGTTTTCAGTGCCTGGAAGACTGCAATGAAGTGGACGATATGAATGACAAGCTCGTGGAAACTGTCCATGCGGTCGGAGCTAAGTTCTGCAAGACCCGCCGCAGAAGAACACAAAAACTCTCCGATCACACTCTTAATCTCATGGCTGTTAGACGGGAGATGAAGCTACATTCTTCAACAGACTTGACAGCATACAGGCATCTGAACAGACAGATCTCCAAATGCATGCGGCGGGACTTACGCAACTTCAATACAGCTCGTATTGAAGAAGCGATCGAGCGGAACCAAGGCTCCAAAGTCTTTGCCAGAGATCTGTCTGCCAGAAAGAGCCAACTGTCAAAGCTGAAGACAGAATGTGGCAGCATCGTTTCCGGGACACCTGAGATTTTGAGTGAGATTGAGAGGTTCTATGGGCAGCTGTACACATCATCGTTGGAGCCACACGCAAGTGTGAGTAACGATCCAAGAGCGAGTCTCATCCGACACTATTCCGAAGATATCCCGGATGTCAGTCTGAGCGAGATTAGGATGGCTCTCCAGCACCTTAAAAACGGTAAGGCCCCAGGCGAGGATGGAATTACAGCGGAGCTTCTGAAAGCGGGTGGAAGACCGGTACTTGAAGTCCTTCAGAAGCTCTTTAATTCTGTCCTCCATGGTGGCATTACACCGGAGGCGTGGAGCAGAAGTGCGGTGGTCTTGTTCTTCAAGAAAGGTGACAACGCTCTCTTGAAGAACTACAGACCGATTTCCCTTCTGAGCCGCGTCTACGTGCTGTTTTCGAGAGTCATTACGAATCGTCTCGCGCGCAGACTTGACGACTTCCAGCCTCCCGAACAAGCCGGTTTCCGAAAAGGCTTTAGCACCATAGACCACATACATACCCTTCGGCAAATTGTACAGAAGTCCGAGGAGTACAATTTGCCACTATGTCTGGCGTATGTGGACTATGAGAAAGCCTTTGATTCCGTCGAAATTTGGGCGGTGCTGCAGTCCCTTCAGCGATGCCAAGTTGACTGTCGGTATATCGAAGTGTTGAAGTGCTTGTACAGTAGAGCTACGATGGCTATCCGAGTACAGAACCAGAATACGAAACCTATCCAATTGCAGAGAGGTGTAAAACAGGGTGACGTCATATCCCCGAAACTCTTTACCGCTGCATTGGAAGACGTTTTTCAAGCTTCTGGACTGGAAAGGATACGGTATCAACATCAATGGCGAGTACATCACTCACCTTCGATTTGCCGACGATATAGTCCTTATGGCAGAATCGCTGGAGGACCTAAGCACTATGCTCAATGACCTCAATAGTGTTTCCCAACGGATAGGTCTTAAGATGAACATGGACAAAACAAAGATCATGTTTAATGTCCATGTCACACCTATGCCGGTAGTTGTTGGGAGCACTAAGCTCGAAGTTGTTGACGAGTATGTTTACCTGGGACAAATAGTCCGACTAGGTAAGTCCAACTTCGACCGAGAGGTCAATCGACGGATTCAACTCGGCTGGGCAGCGTTCGGGAAGCTACGACACATCTTCTCGTCAGACATACCTCAAAACCTTAAAACGAAATTGTACAACCAGTGCGTGTTGCCAGTGATGACTTACGGAACTGAGACGTGGTCCTTCACTGCTGGCCGTATGAGGAAGCTCAAGGTCGCTCAGCGAGCTATGGAGAGGGCTATGCTCGGAGTTTCTCTGCGTGATAAACTTAGGAATGAGGATATCCGCAGTAGAACCAGAGTGACCGACATAGCCCAACGGATTAGTAAGCTGAAGTGGCAGTGGGCCGGCCATATAGCTCGAAGAACCGACAACCGATGGGGAAGAAAGGTTCTCGAGTGGCAGCCTCGTACCGGTAGGCGAAGTGTAGGGCGTCCCCCCACGAGATGGAGTGACGACCTGGTAAGACATGCAGGAAGTCGATGGATGCAGGTGGCTCAGGACCGTGCTTTGTGGCATTCTTTGGGGGAGGCCTATGTTCAGCAGTGGAATTGTGAAGGGCTGTAATGTTGATGATGATGAGGAGACCCCACACCTGAGGCCTGATAGTGGCACCGATGACTTATTTGAAGATGCAACCGGAGAGGGCAATGACCAGGACGAAAAAGGCAGTTCGAATATTACAGATAATGCAGAGAGAAACTCCTCGTCACCGCCTTCACCGAGTGTATCGGCTAGAGCACTGCGTGCTTATATTCGAACCAAGAAAAAGGAATTGTAATTATTTTCTTTTTTCTGTGTAATAGGAAAGAATCGGAATTAATGTACAATAACATAACATCCTTTTGTTGGATGATAGAGTTAGATGTTTTTATTAAATGTTATGTCACTTAGTCATTTAAAGGGGGAATGTGTAGGGTATATTATAGTTATTTTTGTTATTGGGTATGTAGGTAGTTGGTATCAATAAAGCTTCCAGTTCGCTGTTCAACTCTGCCTTTTATTGACGTTACAGCAACAAACCCGAACAATAAAGAAAAATTCGACCCGAATGATCAAAAAATTATGTTCAGGAAAGAGCTAAGGGTCTGGTAACTCACCGCTTTTCGCCTTCCACTGCCTCACGCTGCTGGGGCTCGGCGAGCTGGCTGGCTGAATAGGAGATTCGAAGGGATATAACCCTGTCTCTCCGAATAGAATAGTCCATAGGTCACTGGCACAGTATCTTCGGGTATTGTTTAGTACTTATGGTGAAATAAAAAGGACACACAATAATTTGTCGAAAGAGAAAAGTTCGTTACGTTTCTGCTCGGCGTACGGCGCGCAAGTGTCTCACCGGTCGGCCAATCAGGCGCAAGCGCGGCTTCTAGCGTAAAAAGGATTACTATATTACCAATATATAGACCAATAATTGAATAAATCCCTCTTAATTTAGTAATTGTTACCACTCGAAAGTTTATAAGAAGATAACTATAAAGAAAATGAATATGAATTGAAAAAAAAATATTTTACAATAACATCGATCATTTCCTTCTCTAAAAAAAGATAAAATTGGCTGTAAGAGTTCTTTAGCCACGCCTGCGTAACCAGGTACAATATGCAAAACATTACGAGCACATGTTGGAGTACGTGCATCTCGAAGTACACCATTTGTGAATGAATATTTTGAATGACACTAAGAATGAATGGAATGAAACTCGTAAACGGAACACAGTTAAAACACACAACATATATATTTCTATTATTATTAAAAATATTTATATTTTTCTAATAATATGAGTATATGTTTATTAATTACATCTATAGAACAAAGTGCCCAATTTGTGGCATTCTTTGCGGGAGGGCTAAATTCAACAATGTTTTTTGGTGAAGCAGCACCACTGTCCCAATTTGACAAGGGCTCAGTTGTGCTGCCGCGTATTGGCTTCATTATAACCAAAAGGTCTAATCACACACTTTATAATTTTATTCCACACGTCTTATTATAGACTCACTAAGACTCTTACAAAGTTTTTATAAGGAAAATAGAACCTACACCAACGAGCGCAGAAACTTAAGTGACCGTATTCTCGCGTTCATTCATTAAGGAAGCCATAATAAGAACCTAGAAGCGCTCTGATTGGTCGACGATTTGATTGGTTAATATTTCACAAAAACCAAACAATATCTTTTTATTGATAAGTCTTTAGGAGTTGAGAAATTACGACAACATTTCACTCACCTTAACTTTG